CATATACGTAACTGGACCCACGTAATGTGATCAGACTCATGACACGTGATCAGCCAGAGTTTAAATTGAGATGAATTTCTTGCATTTTGTTAGGTTCATTATGTACGCACATGTTTATGACTGGAACTCCTGTAGATCACCCCAAAAAATTTTCTGGCACATGACTAAACTACTTCACTAATTTCTGCTAACATTGATGCCAACGTTCACCACAATGTTCACCTCAACATTGCCCTCAACGTTGACATGAACATTAAGGTCAACATTGAGGTGAACGTTGACATGAACATTAAGGTTAACGTTCACGTCAATGTTGAGCTCAATGTTGAGGTGAACGTTGATATGAACGTTAAGGTGAACGTTCATGTCAACGTTGAGGTCAACATTGAGGTGAACGTTGAGATGAACATTGACATTAATGTTAAGGTAAACATTCACATCAACATTGAGGTCAATGTTGAGGTGAACATTCACATCAACATTGAGGTAAACATTGACATGAACATTCACCTTAATGTTCATATCAACGTTGACGTGAACATTCACCTTAACGTTCATGTCAACGTTCACCTCAACATTGACCTCAACATTGACGTGAACATTCACCTTAATGTTTATGTCAATGTTCACCTCAACGTTGACATGAATGTTAAGGTGAATGTTAATGTCAACGTTTACCTCAACATTCACTTCAACGTTGATATGAACATTCACCTTAACATTCACCTTAACGTTGACCTCAACGTTGACGTAAACATTCACCTTAACGTTCATATCAACGTTCACCTCAATGTTTACCTCAACATTGACCTCAACGTTGACGTGAACGTTCACCTTAACGTTCATGTCAACGTTCACCTCAATGTTAATCTTAATGTTTACGTCAACATTTACCTCGTCAAGAAAATACTATACATTTTATGTTTATTTAACTTTTTTTAATAATTTTATTATTATAATTACAATCGCATACAAAATTATCTAATTTACAAAAGAACAACAAAAAAATAATGAAAGAATAACGAAAGAATGTCGAAAAAAGCACCAAAAATATGTGAAAAAAGACACCAAAAGAACGTTGAAGAATGTTGAAAGAAACACAGAAAAAGCGCCAAAAAAACGACGAAAAAGCACCTAAAGAATATCAAAAGAAGCACCGAATGAATGACAAAAAATACACCCAAATAACATCAAAAAAAAACACTGAAGGAACATCAAAAGAAGCACTGAAAAAACATCGAAAAAGCACCAAAAGAACGCGAAAAAAAGTACCGAAAAAATGTCAGAAGAAGACCGAAAAAATGCCAAAAGAACACTGAAAGAAGCACCAAAAGAACGTTGAAAGAAGGCACTGAAAGAACGACGAAAAGGCACCGAAGAAACGATGAAAAAGACACCAAAAGAACGGTGAAAACCCACCAAAAGAACGTTAAGAAAAAACACTGAAGAAACGACGAAAAGACGCCAAAAGAACGTCGAAAAAACAATGTAAAAGCACGTAAAAATCATTGAAACAACACGTAAAAAGCACACAAAAAAAAAAAAAAAAACATACCGAAAGAACAACATAAGAAGCACCGAAAGAACGATGTAAAGGGCACCGAAAGAATGACGTAAAGACCACCAAAAGAACGTCATAAAGATTACCGAAAGAACGTCGTAAAGACCACCGAAAGAACGTCATAAAAAGCACAGAAAAAAACAAAAAAACATTTAGCTGATCGTGTTAAATAGTAAAATGGAAAATGCGTTATGCGGCGTAAAATTGTAACGATAATCACGTGCAGAAAAAATTTTGGGGGTTAATTACTAGATATGATTTACATGTAAACATCATATGATTTGACCAATCAGAATTAGCAAATTTTTGTATTATCTAGGAAAAACATATAGTGATCTAGGAAAATTTAATTATATGTGAAGTTGATTTTTTTTAAAACAATACATATCCCAAAACTTCATTAGCATAAACAAACTAGTTTAAACTACATACCATTTAAATCTGATAAAAATTAACTGAGATGTCAAAAACTTTTATTAGAAGCTTTTTTTTATTTACTATGTAAAAATCCAATATACCATGCAGATCATATGAAAAATGATCTACGTACACCCTACCCTTAAATCGTATTAAAACGGTTTTAGTCTATTTCTAATATTGAGTTGTAGTGTATTATATTATTTCAAGTTTTTAGTTAGGACGTATACAAAATCAATAATATTGTATTATTTATCGTTATATCGATATTGTGACTAAAGTTGGTGAAACTAGTGACTATCTAAAATCTGATTGGCTATTAAATACAATAGCCAATCAGATTTTAGATAGTCACCAGTTTCACCAGCACTATTTGACTCTGCCAGGAGTCTAGACGCTTTTGCAGTAATGTGATGTGGCATATCATAGCACATTCGGATAAGCTTTTTTGGCTTTATGTTATGTTTTTGGTTAGGGTTCATGGTTATAGGTCTTGAAAAATCATCCCTATATGTAAAATTACTCTCCCGACATTTCTTGTTAGTGAACAAAGGCCGATTTAAACACTAGTTTTTGTGTATATTCGCTTTTTTCTCTTTTTTTCTTGTGCACGTGTTTTGTTTTGACGTCGAGCTGATCCGGGATGATCAAAATTTACGCATCCTGATTGGCCATTTCTCATACGCCACATCACGTTACTGCAAAAGTGTCTAGACTTCTGGTGGAGTTGCACAATTTAGTTTCACCAGCAACTCTAATCGTAACTAAAGGTGCTTGAAGTTGCATTTAACTGAAATTATCACGTATTAGTTAGCTGTTTTAGGCAGGTGCCAACTTCAACTTCAGTCATGACAATAAATAAAAAATTATTATATATGGAAGTCCTCCATGCTTTAATACGCGGCATTTACTAATTTCACCCAAAGTTTCTATTGGCCATCCATAGATCGCATTTCTGATTGGACAGAATAGACGATCTGTGATATAATCGATTAACTATAGCCAATAACATACACATTATAAATTAAAGAATGTTTGCGAATAAAAGCAAAATTTTATTTCTTCATTAGCATGCCAGAATCTTCCAAGAAAATGATCACCTTAAAAGGGTCGGCTGCATGATAAGTGATTTATATTAGTAGAATTCAGGCATTATTAAAAGTTCTTTATAGATTTTATAAACAAAACGCTAACTTCGTTATATTGTAGAAGGAATTAACGTCAAGTCAGAACCATGCTATACAGTTTAGGTCTTGCTAGTTGAGATTCATTGAAGCTGGCATAATATATAAAACGTAAAAATATGCTTAAGTTGGAGAAACTAAAGTGAAATTGAAAGAAAAAAATATATTATAGTGAAATTCGGTTGGATAGTGTGTATAGGTAGTTACTCTTTAACAATTTATAAACAGCAAATTTTAGGCAGCAATGAAAAAAAATGAATCGCCAGTTATTTCATTATTGTATGCACTTATACTCAAGGATCAAATTCTTTGCATTGGCTATATTTGGAACTATTAGAAGGTATTTAATAAAGGTACTATATTTGGTAAAAATTCGTATCAAATTTCCTATTGATTTTTTAAATCTGTTATAGATTCGACCTTTGATGTATATGAATTTATATGTTGAACTTTTGAATGTGTAATCTTTAAATTTATTAAATTTAATTTATTCAAACCAAATTATTAACTTTATTACGATTGAGGTAAATTTTTTCTGTACACAATATCAAACTCTCTTTATTAAATGTTAATTGAAATTTGAGATTTGAAATACAAAAAATATCTAACATTGCTCAAATAATAGGTATCACTAATATAAAAATATTAAAATTTTCATATGTATGGAACCAAAATTCTACCTTTAATAAAAGCACTCTCTAGTTTAACTTTGAAAACTAATAAGTAGGGATGATGAAATGTTACGATTTCTAAGTTTTTATCTTAAAATCATTATAAAATAGCCTTGTTCTCATAACTTTTATCAGGAAAATTTTTAAGGAAATAGGTAATGATTATAATTGGAAAAATTGATATATATTGATGGCAAATAATAATTATAATTGACAGGGAGGACTATATATCAATTTGTAACAATATTGATTATAATCTATTATAGATATATAACAATTATTATCAATTATAAATAGTTTAAAAAATTCGATATTTTTAGCAAAACTTTAAAGATGAATATCTCAATAACTAGTAATTCAAATCGGTCTAAATTTTTATCACAATTAAATATGATATTAATCTATAAAGTACTAAAGTTTATTTGATTTGGCTTAAGAAATTGCTTGTATACGATAGTTAATTTTTTTAAAAATATTGACTATCATATACAAGAGATTTCTTGAGAACTAAGTTAAATCAAATGAAATTTAATACTTTATAGATGATTATCACATTTAATTGTAGTAAAAATTTGGGCTGATTTGGATTACTAGTTATTGGGATATTTATCTTTAAAGTTTTGTTAAAATTATCAAATTTTTTAAATTATCGATATTAATCAATTTTTTATTTTATTGATTATAATTAATAATAATCATTATATATCGATTAAATTATTCAGATATGCATCGATACATAGCACTTAAAAAATTTTTCTGATGTCTGTAAAAACCTTACTCAGTAAAAGTGTTCAAATTCATACTAAAAGATCTATATATAGTAAATAGTGCTGGTTATGTAAAATAAGTATTGAGAATAAAAAATATTAATAAAGCTAATATTAGGTATAATTAATAAATTTTAAATAAGGGAAATTATAGGCATCTCCCGCGAGAGATACATCTCCCACATCCTTATTAACCAATCAAAATGTGCCATTGCATATGATTGAGTTAACGCACCTCAGATGACCAGCATTAAATGATCAGCATAAATTATACCGTGATTTCTACCCTAACCCTAATCTAACATAGGCTGTACATCATCTGGCGCAAGAATGCATATGAGGCACATTAACACAAAATTTTTTTCTTGGTTCTCAAGTTTTTTTTTTAGCTGATGTGGATATGTATCATCCACCTGATTTCTTTACTAGTAACTGTATACGCCTTACTACTATAAATATTAACAATCAAACAATAACGATAACAATAAAGCATACAGAAGGTATTCACATACGTACAGTACGTACATAACAGGTACTAGTATAGTTTCTTTTATAGTTGATAACAATAAAGAGTCGATTATAGCCGTAATATTCTTGTTTTTATTACCCATATAAATAGATTAGACGTCTTTGATTTGTACCAGTGAGAACAAATCTCCCACTAAAGGTTTTATAATATGATCTAAGCTTAACTTTCATTGATACTACAGTACTATAATATCAAGGTCATCGTTTTTTTTTAAAGATTTACATAAACTGACCAGCTGGGCATAAGAAACCGTTTAAGTTTGTGATTCAGAAAGGTTTGTAAGATTTTTAATATTAAGTAACATATATGTCTCAGATTTTGCTTACCAATTTAAAACTTGTGAAATTTACCAACTTTATTCATAAGATAGAGACAAATAGTTCTCACAAAATACAATCCTCTAGAACCGATGAAAAAAAAACTTTATAGCAATGTTCATTTAATATATATTGCTTTAATCATGGAACTAAATCGAGAGGATAATGGTAAGTTGAGTAATATAATACAAAACGTAGATTTTAATACTGAAAATTAATAGCATTTTTAATATTTTTGAAGAAATTGTACTAAGCCAATCTATTAGTAATAAATCTGACGCACAAGAATATGAAGACTCGCATGGAACTGAACCTGAAAGCCCATTAGAACTTGAATCTGAAAGTCCATTAGAACTTGAACCTGAAAGCCCATTAGAACTTGAATCTGAAAGCCTATTAGAACTTGAACCTGAAAGCCTTTTAGAATTAAAACATGAAAGCCCATTAGAATCTGAATCTAAAAACCCACCAGAATCTGAATATGAAAACCTACCAGAATCTGAACTTAAAAACCCACCAGAATTTGAAATCTTAAACCCTGGAAATTTAGACCTGAAACTTTACTTTTTCAAAGTGGTCAAACTTACTCTTCTCTCGAAGCCTTTAAGTATGCTGCCGACTACTATACAAGCACTAATGGGTTCAAAGTAATTTACTATAAAGGCAGCAATCATAGTGATGGTATACATTATACCCAAGTTTTTGCATGTGACCGCTTTGGTCAATTCAAGCCCAAAAATAAAAAACCAAACAAACCAGCCAGAAATGTAGAATCAAAGAAGTGTGGTTGCCAGTGGTCTGTCTGACTCAATTGTATTCAAGACGAGGATAAATACTATGTTTCTCAAGCCACCCTCTGTCACAACCACCCACTAATTCCGGTTCAACTTATGCGGTTCTTACCTAATAATCGTAAAATACCAGTTGCTATTAAGGAGGAAATATTACTCTTAAAAAGGGCTGGCATTTCAACGTCTCAAATTCAATCACTGCTTGTGACAAAATATGGACAAATTGCAAAGAAGTGGATAGTCCAGGATGTATATAACTTAATTAGCAGTGACCATATGTCACGTAGTGAATTCCAGGCACATGGTTTCCTTCTCCTCCTCCAACAAAAACGCAGGAATGATCCTGAGTTTTCATTTGAATTTGAGTTAGACCATGATAATCGTTTGAAGCATGTTATCTGGGCATATCCATCGCAGAAGCAACAATACATGTGCTTTTATGATACAATTGTGTATGATCACACATATAAGTGTAATTATTTTTCAATGCCCTTTGGAGTATTCACAGGTGTTACTAATCATGGGCTCTCTTATTGTGCTGCTGGTGCTTTACTTTGTGATAAGACTCAGTCAAGTTTTGAGTGGCTTTTTGAAGCCTTTATCTGAATTTTTGGTACTGCTCCCAAAACTATTCTCACAGATAATGATCTCTCAATAGCTGATGCTATCCGTTTTGTTTTAACTAATAAATATAACACTAAGCATGGCCTTTGCATATGGCATATGCTTAAGAACATTAGATCTAATATGACCTCTAAGATCGGTCCTAAGTATGATGAGTTTCATACCGATCTCATCAAATGCCTTGATCATAATATTAATCAAAGTGAGTTTGAGGAGCGATGGAATAACCTTATAGTTAATAAAAATTATGCAGAAGCAAGGTCGTATCTAGAAGCCCTTAACCAGTGGCGTGAGAGATGGGCCCCGGCGTATCTTAAAGATTTTTTTTTGCAGACATGACATCAACACAAAGAGGGGAATCAATGAACAAATTGTTAAAAGGATTCCTTGATAGTAAGACCATGCTAACCGATTTTCTAGCGGCTTTTGAACGAGCACTCGATGCCCGAAAGGAGGCTGAGCATATTTCTGCATATAAGGAACTAGCTTATTCTTCCCGTTCAACGTCCCAAAATCCTATTGAGAATCAAGCCGCCAAATGTTTAACACGATATGCATGGAAAAAATTTGCAGCCGAATGGAATGCTAAGGATGCATATATGTGTGTGAAAATAGAAAAAAATAATGAATTAAATCGTTTTAAATTATCACGCTATGAAATGCCTGATGTAATACGTTGGGTGTCCTACGATGGTTGTGTACTTAGTTGTAGCTGTCGTAATCTTGAATTTGCTAGGATAATTTGCCGCTACTCTTTTGCAGTAGCAGTTCATCTTTCTCTTACGCAACTTAATCCAGTTCATTTTCCAAAACGTTGGCAGAAAGATCCGTCCGAGTTGGAGCTTGCAAGAGATTATATTAATTTTTATAGCTATTTACAACCACAAGCTACGGGAACTTTAGCATTAGATGAATCATCCAGCGAATGTGCCACTCAACTCAGATATATGCGTATCTGTCGGCTTTCAAGAGAAATAGCCAATAAGATTGTAACAGACTCTAATAAATGTGCGGACTTTATGTCATATCTTGAGAAGTATTTAGAATCTTTGTATATTACTACTGATGATATTTTTGATTCATCATTCTTAGAACATCAAACAATCAAAAATCCAACAAGAAGTAAGGCTGTTGGGCGACCCAAAAAAGGAAGAATCAGAAGTGAAAAAGAGAACATGTCTATTGCTGCCGTAAAAAAGAAGTGAGGGTGACCAAAAAAAATCCCCGAAGATAGTCTAACCGAAAAACCAGACGAGAATTCTAATCTAGGATCTCCCCAAAAACGTAATCGAATTAAGGTAAAGTTTTTACCATTTAATTTTAAATCTAAATCAGCATTGATAAGATAAATGTTATATACTTTACAGGTTTAAATAATTTTACAAGACTTATCAGATTTAGTTTGAAAGAGAACACGTGCATGAAGACGTATGAACAAAAAAAAAAAAAAAAAGAAAAAAAAAAAACTCATAGGCTTGTTTAGCTTATTTTATTGTTTTTCATTTCCTGTAATTACTGTTCAGGTGTCTGTTGTATAGAATTTATGTATATAGCACTTTTAAAACTTTGTAATTAACTAGCGTAATGCGCACCAAGGATATTATATGTAGCATTGAAATCGTGTGCTCAATGTTAATCATGAAGATCTTATATTTGACATAATAAAATATTAATTTTTATGATTAATTTGATTACACAAACTAGTTTCCAATCAATTCCTATTTAAATGCTTTTTATGCTGAACTAATTTTATGTTTATCGGCCAACATGCAATCAAATCCCAAGGATCATGAAACTTTCGAAGCGAAAGAAGTCCTGTGAATCATGAATTGTAAGAATTGATAGACTTGAATTTTAACTTGTAAAGCACCTGGTTAGTGGATGTGCCGAGAAGTATAGTATGTACATAACATCAATGCTGAAAATTACTCTTTACTAATTAATATGTTATATATTTACTATTCAGAGTATGCCTATTTGAGTTAGATTCGCTTCATTCGTATTAATTTATAAAAATTAATCGATGCACTTTAGATCCTTAACTCTATCATTACTTTACATTACTTTCTTATTTAGCCTCGTTTTTTTCCGTTGTAAGAGTGAACATTATTATTAAAATAAGCTACTCAACTCATGGATTTACCACTCATAATATTTCAGATTCGTTTAATTTGATTAATTTATGGGTATGTATAATTATTTATTAATCAGTATACTGTATTTAAGATAAGTTCTTAGTTGATAAATATTTATTATAAATCTTTCATTTAGGCTCTTTTCATTTGCTTTAATTTAGTGGGTAAGCATAAAATTTGTTTATATTAGGAGAAGTTACCTGAATTCATAGATATTAGTACTACATATCCTTCATTTAGCGGCTGAAAAAATCAATATTTATTAATTGAATGTCTAACATTTATATTCTTGTTTAGGTTAAGTTGTTTTATTTGAATTGATTTGAGAGAAATATTTATTAATCAATATAATAAGTAAAATTACTCACCATTAGAGATTGGAACCGCCTAAGATTTTTCTAATCGTTTAACCGATTAGCTGTATTAATCATTTAATTCAGCCAGTATTGAAATACTTCTGGACCACGACCAACATAATTTGACCCGGCATTATGAAATAATTTTTAAGCGATTAAACGTTTCCAATCCTTATCACAATATCTTTAATACGAGCTAGGAATGTTAAATGGTTTGGTCTAATTTAAATCAGCTTGTTTCACCTTTATTTATAAAAGGCTGTCTAAACCAGAACCGGGTCACATCCTAACGCCTCTAATTTGAGCCTATTAATTTAGCAGGTGGTTCACAAATCTATTAACTTATTTTTTGCATTGATTGAGTGGGTAATTATTCAAATTTATTACTTTATTATTTGCTCAAGTTTATTGATTTTTATGGTTCATAATGTCTTTCATTTGACTCATTTTATTTGTATTAATTATTTTATTTAGAACAAGCTACTCAAGTTTATGGATATTTACTGTTCATTGATTTGGTGAGTGGTTATTGTATTTAAATGAGCTAAAGTATATGTAAGATTATTTATTAACCGATTGTATTTAAATAAGATATCGTAAATGGCTGGATAAAAGACCCGGGTCTCTTAA